GAATTTTTTTTTTTTTTTCAAATTTTCTGAATTCTGGAGTGACATTTTGATTCTCTATTACCACCTCATGATAGATTTGTGTTTTGCGCCATTGTAGCTATAGTAGAAGTGGTGGCCCTCACAAAGAAGTCACAGAACGTGGGACACACAAAGGCATAAAGTCGTGTGTGTGTGTGTGTGTGTGTGTGTGTATGTAGGTAGGTGTGTATTTAGTTTGTACATGCATACAAACACAGGATGTGGCCTGAGAGCAGCAGAATCAGGACTGGCTCATGAGTCTGCATATCTTTATCTGCCACCTGCTGCCCTTCTGTCACATAATGCCCCATGCTTTTAGCCTGAAATGTTTAGGGGCCAAACCATGGTCATCTGTTTTTTCAAAATTGATTTGTGCACTCACTTCCAGGAATGATTCCACGTCTTAAGTAGCAGTTTTCTTGAAGTACAGGACGCTGCACTTTTGGGCAAAATGACAATACAACAGGGCCCCTAAATGAATTCAAGCTGTTTTTACTGAAAGCGTTGATATTTTGTCTTGTTATTTATTGATTTTTGTCACTCACAGCATCCTTACCCATCTGAGGAGCAGAAAAAACAGCTAGCACAAGACACAGGCCTCACCATCCTGCAAGTAAACAACTGGTAAGTCACTCTAAAACCATCTGAGGATCTGAATTTTGCACATAACCTTTGACTCTTTTATCCACTCACACATGCACATACAATATGGGTCTGTGGTTTGTAAAACACATTTTATAATTAATATTGACTTAATACTCTTGCTCCAACTCGGTTGGCACTATGAGTTACAGAGTCATAATGTAGTCAAACCAAAACATGTAATGTCAAACATAATGTACATTGTTGGATTTAGTGTTACTATCCAAGTGATAGATGACCATCAAAAATAAAAAACAGTTGCTTTCAAATCACAAAAATGAAAATTCCATGATTGTAAAACATAGTTTTTTCTTCAATATCAGACTAATTCAGGTGTTTGGTGTCAGTGCATCCACTGTTACGGTTTACTGGAGATTCTTATTGATAGTACTTAGTTATAAGTACCTTTGGAATTACTGGTAAAAACTACTTGGAACGTTTAGGAACACTTCATTTTCTGGGTGTGCCAATCCTAAAATAATTCTCAGGAAGATTCCTGGAAATAACTACGTATGTAATTTAGTGCTCGTTTTAGAGAAAATAGACATTGTATTGCAAGTATTTTTGTTAGAATTTATTTGTAAGTTTATAAACCACAGTACTTCCCACCATCCCTGGTAGGTTAGTGGTTAAGGCGCAGCGCTCTTGCCGCTGCAGCCCGGGTTCAAATCAGGGTTGCGTCAGGAAGGGCATCCGGCATAAAACATATGCCAAATGTCAATATGCGAGTCGGCAGTGTGACGATTTGCTGTGGCGACCCCTAAACGGGAAAAGCCAAAAGTGACTTTCTCTCAGTACATATTCATTCATTGTTTCTCATTTGTTATTTCTATAGGTTAAGACTGCAATTTACTGGAATTAATAACTGGAAGTGTAGACACTCTCTCTACCTTTAAGATTAGACTTAAACCTTTCCTTTTTGATAAAGCTTATAGTTAGGGCTGGCTCAGATGACACTGAGCCTTCCCTTAGTTATGCTGCTATAGGCCTAGACTGCTGGGGGGTGCTCTCCTCTCCTCCGTTAACATTAATCTGCCCAGTATTTTATAGTGTCTGTTTTTTTGTTTGTACTGTCTTGTTGCTTTTCTCCTCTCTCTCCTTTATCCATTCACCCCAATCGGTTGAGGCAGAAGGCTGTCCACCACCTGGTTCTGTCTGAGGTTTCTTTTGTTAAAGGGAGTTTTTCTACTCCCCACTGTTGCCAAGGGCTTGCTCAAGAGGGATTTGTTGCACTTTTCACTATGTAAAGTGCCTTGTAGAGAATAGACCCGGCAAGCTTATAGTACATAATGTCATTATGAAGAAAACATTTGAGTGCTCCTGCTGTCTAGCCTAAAGTTTGACCTACGAGTCTAAACCCGACCCAGACCCGAAGTTAATTTTAAAATTTCTGTCCAAACCCAGCACAAAAACCTGGATACTGATGGTTCCTGTTGGGCTCAGTTCGGGTATCCACACTCTAATGCCTTGGGATGATTTTTAATGCTATACAATCAAAACTGAATTGAATAGATAATTCATTTTTATTAGTTCTCCAAGAATTAGTGACATTTATTTGAATAGATAATTCATTTTTATTAGTTCTCCAAGAATTAGTGACATTTTATGTGAAGGTTTTTAATCTGTTCATCAGGGTTCACATGATAATGTTTTTCCTTTCCAGGTTTATTAATGCAAGGAGGAGAATAGTGCAGCCCATGATTGACCAGTCCAACAGAGCAGGTAAAGCTGCACTTCATTCACTGTCCATATTTTCTGACATTCAATAGATTAATCTGGTGGAGGAAACCAGCTAAAAACAGTAAACACGAGAGACATATGTATCAGAGGAGCTAGTCCTAAGACATTTAGATTATGTATGAAAGAAGTGCAGAATGAGGAAATGGTTTTATATGCATCATGATGGGTTTGAAGCAAAGCAGTTGTGTATCTTTGGGTTGCACACTGACAAATTAATTTGCCCTCTCCTCTCTCAGTAAGTCAGGGTACAGCTTACAGTCCAGATGACCAACCAATGGGAGGCTTTGTTCTTGATGGGCAACAGCACATGGGTCTTCGACCTGGAGGTGAGCAATCACCCATACATTTATCAAACAAAATCACTTTTTGGAGCAACACTGGTGCAGCCACAGGTAACTGTCAGAGTAATCTCATATAGTGCATATGAGCTTCAGTCTGGCTGCTGTTGTTGTAGACTAGAGTTGTGGTGATGTGTGTGTTATGAAAGAAAATGTGTGCAAGGTGCACTGTGCATATAATGGAAAACTCAAAACACCCCTTCAGTTGGTGGCGCTCTAGACAACTGTCTATGTGGTCTATGCCTAAACACAGCGCTGGTTCTAAAGCAAAAATAAAAACATCCATACCTCAGCACAATGTGGGAATATATTGTGTGAATACAGCCAAAACACACACTTCTGTCTGATCTGATGTGGCATCTCTGGTCTGCACCTTGTGTGTGTGTAGCCCTGCCCTCAAACAGACACACAGACCTGAAATCGGATGCATGTAGTAGCCTACTTTAATTCCTGATTTCTATTTATAAATATGTCAAACACAATCTGATAACAGCCTGTTTGTTTTGTTTTCAAAATGAAAATCCATTGCCACCCTCAGTACCAGGATTCTGGTGGCTGTGTAAAATGAACACAGTTTGTGGGTTCCTGCATTTAGATCACCACGAGTACACACACACACACACACACGCACACACACACACACACACACACACACACACACACACACATTTGTTTCCAAGTTTCCAAGTGATGGCTTTACATTGACTTACATTCATTTTCTGGAGACTTAGCCTAACCCTAAAAATAACCACTACTTTCCTAACAATAAAACCCTACCCTAGCCTCACCCTAAACTTAAATCAAATTTTCACTCTAAAATTTAATGAATTACATGGTGGGGACCAGCACCTAGTCCCCACAATGTGTATGTGTATAAACAGGTTTCAGTCCCCACAGTGTGAATAATATCAGGCACAAACACACAACCACACATATAAAGCCCTTACCTAATCATAATCATGACATTATATTTCAGAAATTTTAATTGTATGTGTAAAGTTTCTTAAATAAATTCCCTGATTTTGTTATATTTTAGAATACTTGGATACTTTTCTCTGACATCATAGCCCTTTTGAAAGGAAACAGTGTGTGAGGTATGGTGGGACATGTTGTTTACTGAGACGAGAGGGGTCTGATTCATATGGTATGCTCACATGATATCTATAGAGCAAGATGTGTTTTTATGTATCATTCCTAGGGCCCATGGTTGGCATGGGGATGAACATGGGCATGGATGGTCAGTGGCACTACATGTAAAACCACTGCACTGAGGCAAGCCTGAACAAGTAAGTAGTGCAGTCTTTGTCTCTCTTCATTTAGAAAAAAGAAACTCTTTACCAGTTCCCCTACTCAATTATCCTTCATAGTTTTTGTACTACTTTTTCCTGTCATTATTAGTGTGATGATTTTTTTCTGGGGTGATTTTTATGTTAATTCAAGTAATGTATTCACAGACATACAGTATTGTCACAATATTTACTTTAGTTTACTTTTGTCTTTCTGGACAGAGTTTTAGGCAACACAGCTTGTTAAGCTGTTTCCAGTGTCAGAACCTAAGGAGCAGTACAACCCATACTTCCCTTAACCATCACCTTGCACAACCTCACGGGCTGATGCGGACAGTTTTTCTTTGCTTTTCCATTGGATTTTATGTTGTGTTGCGCTTTGTGTAGAGGAGGGTGAGGCTGCGCTTCTCGCACACACAGTCAGCTGAACAGAGGACATGAAGGATCACTCTGTAGTGCAACAATCAGCCAGTAACAGAGACTGTATGAGCAGTTTATCAAACAGCTGTTGAAGAAGTATAACACAAACTTGCAGAAATGTGCCATCTTCACCGCTTTTCTGGAGGTCTGCTCTATGAACCCCCTGCTATTTACATTTTACACAGGGTGCTTGTAATGCTAATGGTTGAGCTGTAAAGACACTGACAACCAATCACTGGCAACAGCTTTGCTAACACTCACCGCCTCCCCCCTCACTCTCCTGGTACTTGATTTTAGTACTACTTCCTGAGAGTTGTTGAAATTTTGCTCTGGGAATGCAGAACAAGTATTATGGGGTTTGATACGTTTTGATAGGTTTCTAAGGTGGAAAAACTATATTAGTGTATTGGTTTTCAGAAATTAAAATATTCAGAGATGATTAATGTTTGTGACAACTTCAGTCTTAATTTCCATTATTTCTATCAATAATAGTTTAGAGGGGGGTACACTGGGGGGACTTTGAACTGATGATACTGGGAGTTCTTAAAACCCTACTACAGTGTTACCATAACTGACAAAAATGCTCAAGAAAACTAAGAAAGTATGTCCCAGTTTGTAATCAATTGTAATTTCCTTTATGTCTCAAGTACAAGAGACTGTCTGAGATTACACTATACTGCTTATCCCACACCTTATCTTCACCTCCTGGTATCTGATTAAGAATCGGGGCAATGCTACCCCTTCTCCTTCTCCTCCAGACTCAATCAGCTCCCCACCACTGCTGACAGTTCTCAAATCAAGACATACAGCCTACCGAAGGCACCCAAGCACAGAGAATTTTATTTAATGCCCACTCTCCACTGCTCAATGAGCCAAGCTTTAATGACACTTACCTTGATTAATATAGCTCTTTATATGTAAATAGGAGCTACATTTGCTTCATTCCTCCCCCGGGCCAATTTTTGCCAACACAGCCACCACTTCCCTGTCTAATAACTCCCCTAGTTTTACTAATGAACTTCAAAGGGCAGATAGTGACGTGACATCTACAAAGTAAATAAATACATCTAGATCTGCATAAAGATACCAGGCTCTCAACCTACATGCTGCCTAGATATTTTTGAAGACTAATTGTTTCTTATTGAATGAGTTACACTTAAATGCTCTATAGATTTGAATGTTTTTGACTGCCCAAATTTTATATGTGGTGAAAAGCAGTAAATCTCTGAGGCTTTTCCATGCATGATAAAGCCCGAGCCATAACATTTTGCCATTAGGGAATACATGATTGAATCTGCATTTTTTAAAATTCTTCTCTTTGCTGCACAACACAGCTCACACTATGCAAAGTTTTATTATATACTGCTCATCTTAACTTTACATGTTTGGCAGAAAATATCTGGAGTTCAATTCATGATGTAATATGATGGAAGAGCAATGTCATCAAAATATTTTTTAGATTAAAATCAAAAGTGGAAGTTTATTATTAAGTGGAAGCACCAGGCACGAGTGAGCAGGCTGACCCCAGGACAGTGATCTGGAGACAGAGACGAAAACGAGTCAAGAAAGGAGGGCTCCATGCTAGGCTAAAACCTCTCACTACCCGACCGTTACTACCCAACCTCTTCCTAGCTAACGAACAGTCTCTGGAAAACAAATTGGACGAGCTAAGAGCTAGGATTACAACAGGCAATAAGAGAATGCTGTGCTCTAATTCTCACCGAGACTTGGCTTTCTGACAAAGTCCCAGATTCCGCAATTCAGCCACAGACCCACTCTGTACATCGGGGGAGACCGCACTGCTGCTTCAGGGAAGGTAAAAGGAGGCGGTGTGTGTGTGTATATCAATGTGTATGCCCATGCAAGGGGCAAGTAAACAGTAAACCAGCATAAGGCCGTGTAATATAACAAAATAGGCAGTATTATCAAGCAACAAACAGTGCAAACAATGCAAAATAAGCAGTATAAACGGGCAGTAAACAATGCAGACAGACAAAGGAATGCTCATTGTGAAATGAGATAAATAGGTGCCGTCCCTGGTAGGCTAGTGGTTAAGGTGCAGTGCTCTTGCCGCGGCACCCCGGGTTTGAATCAGGGTTGCGTCAGGAAGGGCATCCGGCATAAAACACATGCCAAATGTCAACATGCGAGTCGTCAATGTAACGATTCGCTGTGGCGACCCCTAAAAAACGAGAAAAGCCGAAAGTGAATTAAAAATAGAGACCTGTATGGCTCTGTGCATACATGGCTGCACCTCGCCCCCACCTGGGACGCTCGGACCACATTTCTTTGTTCCTGTATCTAGCTTGCAGGCAAAGACTGAAACAAACAAACCCTGTCATCAAACAAATTAAACTCTGGACCCCAGAGACTGAAGGCACCCTGCAGGACTGTTTTTGCCCAGACAGATTGGGATGTGTTTAAATCTGCAGCCACCTTGGAGGACTTTTCTGTCAGCGTACAGGATTATGCTGAGTATGTGACCGGATACATTAGTACCTGTATTGACAACGGTGTGCCCACCATACAAATCAGGAGGTTCCCCAACCAGAAGCCCTGGATAAACAGTCAGGTATGCCACATGCTGCATGCTTGCTCTCATGCATTCAGATCAGGCAATGAGACAGTGTAG